GCTGCTGCTGCTGCACTTCAGTCTCTGCGCTTCTTGCTGCTGCTGTATGGTGTCTCCCTTTGTGCTGCTGCGGGTTACCTCTCTTTTTCTGTATCAGCAGCAGCAGCAGCACCAGCAGCAGCAGCAGCAGCAGCAGCAGCAGCAACAGGTGCAGCAGCAGCAGCAAACAGATGCCGCAAGACACTCCCCATTGAAGATGCAGCAGCAGGAGAAGCACCTACGGCAGCAGCAACAGCAGCAGCAGCAACAACAGCAGAAGCAGCAGCAGCAGCAGCAGCAGCAGCAGAGAGAGCAGCAGAAGCAGCAGCAACACCAGCAGCAAAACATATAGGCGAGAGGCTCTGGTGTCTTGCTGCTGCACCTGTGTTAGAGGAGCTGATATTTAGGGGGGTTTTGTTGCTGCTGCTTGCTGCTGCTGGCTGCAGCAGCAGCAACTGTGCTGCTGCTGCTGCTGCTCTCTTTGCTGCTGCACATTGTCATCCGGGGCTGCTGAAGGCAGCAGCAACAATTCTTGCGCTTACAACTGCAGCAAAAGCAACAGCAGCAACCGAAAAACCTGCTGCTGCTGCTGCTCCTGCTGCTGCTGCTGCTCCTGCTGCTGCTGCTGCTCCTGCTGCTGCTGCTGCTCCTGCTGCTGCTGCTGCTGCTGCTGCTGGTAGTGATGTTGCTTCCTCCTCTGCGTCTGTGCAGCAGCAGCAGCAGTGTGCTAGCTGTTGTGCTGACAGCAGCAGATCCAACAGCAGCAGCAGCAGCAGCAGCAGCAGCAGCAGCAGCAGCTGCAGCAGCAGCAGCAGCAGCAGCGTGGAGGCGCAAGAGAGGGAGGCAGCAGATTCGCTGCTGCTGCTGCTGGCTGCCCGTGAGTGGCCCGTAGATACTGCAGCAGCAAAAGCTACTCTGCTGCAGCAGCTGCAGCAGCAGCTGCTGCATGTGCTGCAGCATCATCTACCGCAGCTAATACATACATTTGCTTTTGGTATTATTGCGGTGTATGTACACCTAAAGAGCCGCTCCTTGCTGCTGCTCCCCATGCAACAGCAACAGCAACAGCAGCAGCAGCAGCAGCAGCAGCAGCAGCAGCAGCAATTCTTTGTCTACGGGCCTAATCTCTTTATAGTTGTGGGTCTGCATGCAGTTTGTAATTGGGGTGGTGTACCCTGGAGGTCCCCTCTGGGGGCCCCCCCCCCGGGGGCCCCCCCGTCTGGGGGCCCCCCCACTGGGGGCCCCCCCCCTGGGGGGCCCCCCACTGGGGGGGCCCCCACTGGGGGGGCCCCCACTGGGGGCCCCCACAGGGGCCCCCACTGGGGGCCCCCTGGGGGCCCCCCCCGGTCGCAGCATCCGCTGTATGGGTACCGGCACTTGCTGCATGCGCTGCAGCTTTTGGGGCTTTGCTTTGGCTTTCTAGAAGTTGTTAGGATGTAAGAGTGTATATATATATATATA